AGTTTTGTTTGATAAAAAGAGACTGATCATTGAACATTGTCATTTTTTAAATTGGTAATAGCTTCTGCTGAAATTATTCAAGAGTCTTCACTGATGTTTGTCACTTTTTTTATTCTGTGTCACTTTCCATAAGCATTTATTTGTTAATCTTTAATTTGTGCCACTTTTTGATTGTTGAATTCTTTAATTTTTTGGTGGTGATAGGGTAAAATGTAAGCAAAAGTCTCAATTCTTGTATTTGTCCGATAGATATTGTTAAACCAGTGTACTACAGCCTCTTGTGTCACTTATTTTAGTTCTTGTCACTTTTTTTTTTAACTTTGTCACTCTTTTTTATTTATTGTCATTTTTATGAGTGTATGCACACTTTTAATTGCTGGATTTAATTGTTGTATATTACAAACATGTTCCAGTCATTATAACAAGTTATAAACGTGTATGTTATAGACTTTCATAATGCATGTTATTGTTGTTGACTTTCATTTTAATTGTATCTTTTTTTCTTTTTGTAGGATTGGAATTTATTAATCTCTCAAGCATGTTGGTTCAAAGGAAAAGTCACATTATTATCTTCACACAAGGTGATAATGGACTTAAATGAAAATTTTAGTCTATATCAGAGGCTTTATTTAAGAATACATATTTTGGTGCCTTCATTAATTTGAAGGAAATATAATACAAATAATGAATGGGTGTCAAAGGAGATGGATTAGTGATATGGTCATGTGATAGAGATGAATATGATTTTGAAGAAGTGAAGACATGTCTTGTTATGTAATGACTGATTTAGTTGTTAGAATACTTTTTGGATGCACATAAGTTGGTTGGTAATTTTAGTCTTGTATGTAATGACCGATTTAACAAAAAAGTGACAATGTTAACAGTGGAAGAACTGCTTCAATTGTTAATTTTTGAAATTTGAACATGTTTTATTTACAATATCAATGGAATAGTGATATTGGTGATGTGATTGATCAATATTAGTACTAGTGCCTAACATGCTAGCGGCTTGTATGTCACCTTTTTAACAAAAAGTGACATTGTCACTTTCATGGGCGGAGGGAGGGGTGGGCCATAGCCCACCGTTGAGATAGCCCAAGTTCTTAAAAAAAAAAAAATGGATATTATATAAAAGCAGAATTTTTAAGTTAACATTTCAAAAGTCAGATTTAAAGTTTTTTTTTTTTTTTACAA